AAATATTTTTAACATGCCCCTAACCACACAATTAAAAAAAACCCATGATTTATTGATATCACACGAATTCCAACCGAAAGGGAGAAATTCTTGTGTACTTTAGTTATTAAAGGCATCCCACTCGAGGCCTCCGCCTGCAACGTTATGCTGTTTTGGTTCTGCTCTACCAAACAAGTTAAACTTCCTAGGAGAAAATGAATTGCTGGACCAATCAGATGATTTCTGGCTACAAAACAAAAACCAAACAATAAAAGGAATTCCCTTTATTAGACACAGCGTGAGAGCAATGTCTTCCGGTTTTCTCTCCCTAACTTTCCCTTCAGTTCAGGAAAACGATCTTCTTGTTTAATCAACCAAAAAGATTAAGAATTCGCAGGATATATCAGAATCTACCGCCGAGGAGGTCATGGCTGATGCCAATGCTCAGAATCTATCCTATAAGGATAAACTTCTACTCAATGGCATGGAGGATAATGTTGATGAAAATCTCTCCTTGATGCTATGCTGGACTACCTTGATGAGGAATCTGATATCAATGATGATCCAGAGGACCCTACTCCGATTGTTCTCTTCTCTAGAGAAGACAAGCACCAGATGCGTGAACCATGGAAGAAACCTCTGATTATTAAGACTTTTGGCAAAGCAGTGGGATATAATTTCCTATATGCTAGCATCAAAGCTCAATGGAAACCAGTAGGTAAGTGGGATTGCATTGATTTGGGCCATGACTTTTTTCTTGTTTGTTTTCAGGTACAGGAGGATCTTGACAAAGTGATTAATGGGGGACCATGGTTTGTGGGGGCTTACTACCTCACGATCAAGCCATGGGAACCAAACTTCCAACCTGAGGATGCCACATTCTCTCACACGGTGGTTTGGGCACAACTCCTTGCACTACCATCAGAATACTATGACACTTGTTCGCTACACAGAATTGGTAACACTGTGGGGACTCTCCTAAGGGTAGATGCCCACACCGCTCACCACACTAGGGGTCAATATGCTCGAATATGTGTTTGAGTGGATTTAGATAAGCCTTTAGTCAAGACTTTCAGGTTAGAGGCTATATGAAGGCTCGAATATGTGTTTTACTTGTGGAAGAATTAATAGGACACCGTAAATCAGAATGCCCATTTAATGGCCCCCCATTTACTGGAGTTTCTGACATGAATGTTGGAATCAAGGATCCTCACAGTATTATTGAAGCGTCAGGTTCTGGTGGTTTGAATAGCAACACCTCGACAGAGCCCAATTTAAGGACCTCCATTATGGCTACTTCAAGTGTTCAACAGAGTTCTTCCTCCACCAATCATACTACTACCTTGCCACAAGGTTGACCTAATCAACTTGATGAATGTGGTCCATGGCTTATCGTGGAGCAACAAAAAATAAAGAAACTCACAAAGGCCAGCGACATAATCTAAGTCAGTGATTGAGAAAAAAACTACCAAGGGAAACAGGGATCATGGTGAACCAAACCACCAGTCCGGTTCATCAAACCAACCAGCTTATAATGGAAGCCACGCATTTAAGGCCAACGGTAGAATGGCAGGTGCATTTAATGCCAAACCTCAATTCAAAGTTGTCAAAGTAATGGATCAATCTAAGACTGTTATCAGTGTTCACGACTACTTTAAATTTTTTCAAAATAAATGAAAAATTAAGTGTAAAATATAAAAAAAAATGGGAGTTGCCACTCGTCCAAATTATAAGGTGGGACAAGTCACCTAAAATGAGTCTATATAAAGATCAAGGTTTGGGGATTCGGTTAGGAGTGAAGAAGGGCATACGTGCATCTCACAATCTTTCGTTTAAACACGGTTGTATACTTTAACATTAGGGGTTTTAATTCAACTTATTTATTATCTTTATGTTTAAGTCTTAAAAAGCAAACTTGAAAAAAGAGATAAATCGAATCAAAACATTTTTTTTTTTAATTTTTGGACTGAAATAGACAATATCAAGCACATGCATGCACAATAAACACATAAAAATTAAATGGACTACTTTGATTAAAATAAAAACAAAGGACTGATTTGAAAAGGTTTAAAACCTTTGGACTAAAGTGCTTGAACATGAAAGGGTTGTGCAAAATTGAAATAAAAGAGATAACTTTTGATTTTTTTTAATGAGATTAAGGCAAATAAAAGATTTAAAAATTAATTAATTAAGATAATTAATTTAATTAAATGATTAATTTAATATTAATTAAAATTAATTAAAATTAATTAATCATATTCATTAATCTTTAATTAAAATAATTAAATGAATTCAATTATCTCAAATTAAAGCTAATAAACATGATTAAATTATTTAATTAAAATTAATTAATTTCACCGGTCATAAAATTAAACTAATTAACTTAATCAATTCATTATTTTATTTATATATATATTTTTATCTTTTTCATTTTTTTAGTTTTTTTACTGTATTGGACCCGGTTGACCCAACCCGAAAACATGATACAAATACGAAATAAGACCCCAAAAGATAAAAACATACAGACATGCAAGGAGATAAGGGTTCATCATTTTTAAGTAAAAGAAACAAATTCTTCAGAATATAAACTGCAACTTTTTTTTTATTTTTCATTCATTTTTCCAACGAAACACATACAAACTTAAGAGTTAAGACAGTTCTAAACAAAATCAACAGACATAACAGAAACACCCACTGCGGAGTTTTTAGGAGGAGGTAGATCCAGATCGGAAGGGAGGGATCCCACCCACAGGACCAGGCTCCGTTCGTCTCCTTCACTATCCTTCCCAAAAATCCCTCTGTTCAGGAGATTACCTAAAGCAAGCAGGAAACAGATACAGAAAAATGAGCCTCTTTTCAATCACCGTCGACCTCCAAAAAATGTTCTCCTTCGTCAACACCACACCACCTTCAAAAACAAGCCAAAACAAAACAAAAAAACCCCCCTCCTTCTTTCTAACCAAAACCCTCTATTTATACCCATCAAGGACCGAGCTTCATCTTGCTGAAAAACGAAAAAAAAGGTGCCGAGGAGAATCGGACAACCAGAGCAGGTACAAGATCGGGTTGCAAGATTGCGTTTCAGCCGGGGATTGCACGATTGGGGCATAGGTGATGAGTGCAAATCAGCTCGGGTAGAGGAGGGGTGATGAGTGCAGACCTGGGCTTGGGCAGAGGAGGTTGTAGGCGCGCAGGAAGTAGGGCGTGTAGGCGTGCAGGAGGCATGATTACCGGTGCGCAGAGTGCAAGGCACGGGCGTGCAGGGGGCGCAGGCGTGCAGCAGCAGGAAGGTGCAGGCGATCTGGGCGCAGAGCAGGGAGCAGGGGCGTAGGTGCAAGGCGCGGGCGTAGGTGCAGGGCTAGTGCAGCTAGGCTGGGCGTGCGAGGGGGCGATGATGGCTCGGTGCAGAGGAGCTGGGCGCGGTGCAGAGGATCTGGGCTGTGCAGGGGGTAGAGGAAGCTGGAGATTGATGCAGAGGAGGGTGGAGGCTGATTCGGGAGAGAGAAAAGTAAAAGAAAAATGGAAGGAGGTTCTGGAGAAAAAAAAGATTATTATTATTTTTTTTTTGGGTTAAATGGGTTTGGTATTTGGGCTTGGGTTTGGGTAATTGTTGGTTTTGGATTTTTGGGTAATTTTTGGTTTTGTGATTTTGGGCTTGGGTAGTTGGTAGGCTTTGGGTTTTGGGTAATTGGGTTTGAGTTTGGTGGGTTTTGGGCTAGACTTTGCATTTCACCCCTCCAACTTTCCATTTCTTCAATTGAGTCCTTTCTCGAGTTTCCTTTCCCATTTCCTTCTTGAATTTCCCCTTTTGCACCTGAAAGAAACATGAAGATGTATTAGTT